AAACTGCATAAACTGGGGCTAGGGCTATAGCTCAGTGGTAGAGTGCCCGCCTTGCATGTGTGAGGCACTGGGTTCGATCCTCAGCACCACATAAATAAAAATATTGTGTCCAAGTACAACTAAAAATATATTTTTAAAAAAAACTGCAAAAAGGTATCTTAAAATTCAACAAAATAAGGGCTCAAACAGTCCAGTTAGTTTATGACAAAAGATGTGAACAGATATTTCACCAAGAGTAAAATGGATGAAAAATGTACATACGAAATGTTCAAAGTTGTTAAGTATTCAGGAAGTGCAAATTAAAGCTACCATAAGGTAGTAAGTACTACAGACCTATTAAAACTGCTCAAATAAATACCAAAACCTGGTGAAGATATAAAGAAACTGGATCTCTCAGTGTGATTAGCATGTGCAAGGCCCAGCACTTGTTCAGGGGCTGGGAAGAATTGATCTCTCATACATTGCTGGAGGTGGGTAAAATGACACAAACGCTCAAGAAAAAATTTTACATTTTTTAAAAAGAATAAACATGGAATCATTCACAAAAGACTACGTATTGTGTCATTTTATTTGTATATAGAATATTGTTATGTGCAGAATAACCAAATGTATAGAGACATACAGTAAACAGATATGGTTTTCTAAGTTTAAAATTCCAAGGAATCTAAGAAGAAACTCATAGAATTAATAAAATAAGTGAATTCATTATGGTTATAAAACATAAAAATCAGTAATATTTTTATATATGTTAAATGTTATACATTTAACACTGAAACAGAAATTTAAAGTACAATTCATTTGGTTGCCTAGGGCTGATACAGGTGGGGAAACAGGAATCCACTGCTGAGGGATATGAGGGTTTCTTTGAGGAATGGTAAAAATGTTCTAAAATTTGTAGAATGGTTGTTCAACTCAGAATACATTAAAAGTAATGAATTGCATGCTTTAAATGAATTGCATGCTCCAGGGGGCCCAACAAACTAGATTTTACCACTTATTCCAAGATACTAATCAAAGAGTTGAGCAGTGAAGGTAGGAAAGGAACTTTAATCAGTATAGCTACCAGGAAGACAAGGGACCAGTGTCCTCAGCAGTCTTCAGGGCTACTGACAGGAGCAGGGAATGAAAATTTATGTCCACACAAAAATCTGCTGTACACAACTGTTGACAGCAAGCTCCAAAATTGTCAACAACCTTAGTGTGTTTTAGTAGGTGAACGGTTAATGAAGTGTGGCCATACTATGGATTATCACTCAGCCATAAAAAGGAATGGACTGTAGATAAACAAAATAAGTTGGATGCATTTTAAACTGTGCTGAATGAAAAAAAAAAAAGCCAGTCTCAGGTTACATAATGTGTGATTTCAATTACATAAAATTCTTAAACTGACAAAATTACTGAAATAAAGAACAGATTGGTGCTCTCTTTCTCTGTCTCCTTCCCCCTCCCTCTTTCTTTCCCCCTCCCTCTCTGCCATGTGAGGACACAGCAAGAAGACTCTATCACAAGCCAGGAAGAAAGCCTTTTCCAGAACCCCACCATTCTAGTACCCTGATTTTGGACTTCCTGGTTTCTAAAATTGGAGGTGAGCTTCTCACAAACAGGGGTCATGCTTCCTTCTCCTCTGGATTCTTGGCTTTGAGCAAAGGGTCTGGCACCCACTAGACAACTGGAAGGTTTGCTGAGTGACTGCATGATTACATGCTGCTGGCATAATTAAAAGCCAGCACACTGAGACTAGCAGGTTGGGTTAAGTAACCTAAAACATCTTCTGACAAGAAGAACTGCCCAGAGAAGACGCATTCTGCCTTGGATGGTGATGAGCTTCCCGACCCTAGAGGTGCCCAAGAGGAAGAGGATTGGATATTGTCTATGGTGGAAAATGGATAAGGAGATGCCTACCATGGGGAACAGCTCAGGCCACCAGCCCCTAAGGACAGTTCTTGCTCTGGGGCCTTCCCAGCCAGAAGACAAGGCAAACGCAGTGATTATCCAGATGCTGATGGCTTCACTGTCATAATTCCAGAGTTTGATACTTAGCTTAATCTGAAAATGTTTGCCAACCTATTATGAATAACTATTTGTAGCTTAAAATGCTGGCCCTCCGCAGCTCAAGAGTGAGAAGTTGTGCTCCACTCAGACAACAATGTATGCACTACAGTAAGAACAAATTGACACAACAGGCTCACAAGGTTAATTGTGGGAATCTCAGTCACAATTGCCTCCCTGGAGCCACTTTAATAAGTTGGCTATCTAAACGCAGGAGGGTCCAGGAAGAGTTCACAGGGCAGAGGGCTCGGTGTACCTGAATGAGGGGAGTTTTCTAGTTCCCATCCCAGTTCCCTGTTATAGTTGGAAGGTTTAAATCCTCCCAAGTTCATATAATAGAATCCTAACCCTCTATGTGATCATGTTTGGAGGTGGAGCCTTCACGAATGGGAATCCATACTCTTTGTCTTTCTCCTTCATGAGGATACAATGAGAAGTTGACAGTCTGTAATCGGCTGACGGCCCTCACCAGAACCAATCATGCTGGCCCCTCTGACCTTGGACCTCCAGCCTACAGATTTCGAGAAATAAATTTTTGTTGTTCATAAGCTACCCAGTTTATAGTAGTTTGTCAGAGCAGCCTGAAAGGAAAGATATTCCCCTTATTCCTCTCTTACAGACCCTGTTCATTATTGTGGGGTCTGTGTTAGTCAGGGTTGTCTAGAGGAACTGAAGCAATAGAATACATACATATAAGGAGAGACTTATCCAAATTGTATTGTTATATGGTGTGCATGTATAAATATGTAACAATAAATCCCATCATTATGTACAACTATTATACAACAATAAAAATATGGGAGAAAAAGAGGGGATTTATTAGATTGCTTACATAATAGAAAGCTGGATAGTCCCACAAATATCCATCTACAGGCCAGATGGAGAGCTGCTCACTCCAAGATGCAGGAACTTCAGAACAAGAGGGATCAATGATGCTACCCCAATCTGAAGCTGAAGGCCTGGAAGCTCCCTGGAGAGTTACTGTGTGGATCCATATGGAAAGGTTGAAGAAGATGGGAATCTGATGTCCATGGGCAATGGCAGTGCAAATGGATGCACCCACTCAGGAACAGTCTAGTCTGCATACATGCTGATGGGCTTCCTCCTCCTTCTACTTTGGTCTCTAAATTCAGGGAGGTTGCTAGTCCCCATCTCAGTATGTGGTCCCATACGCCAGTGGTCTCTGGAAACATCCTCACAAACATACCCTGAAGTGCACTTTACTCGTTTCCTAAGTGTCTCTCAATCCAACCACGTTGACAATGAAGATTCACCATCACAAGTCCCCCGCTTGTTGACTTGATGTCCAATCACATCTCCTTAAACCATAATCTTCAAATAAAATAATGACAAGGTTTTAACTCTGCCTAACAATGTAACTATTCTGCCTACAACTAAAAATACTCTAATTCCAGCTCCAGAATAGGAGGCAAAGTTTTGGGGTTTTTTTCTTGGTTCTTTTTAGTTATACATGACAGCAGAGTGTATTTTGGCAATTATACATACATGGAGTACAACCGGTTCTATTTAGGATCCCACTTTTGTGGTTGTACATGAAGTGGAGTTACCTGGTTGTGTATTCAAATACAAGGCCAGGAAAGTTGTGACTGATTAATTCTACTGTCTTTCCTATTCCCCTCCCTGTCCCTTCCCTTGTTTCCACTTTGTCTGATCCAGTGGATTTCTATTCTTACTCTTCCCACCCTCCTTTGTTTTGGGTGAACAGTGCTTACTCTTCTGATATCCCATGACTACTATGATGCAGATTTAATAACACTTAAGTACTTAAATTAAGTCAATAAATGTTATATTCTATAATAAAGAAATAAAAAAACTAAGATATCTGCTTAATATACATCTATATATGCATAAACATACTCTTAATAAAATAGAAAACACTCAAAAAAAGAAGAGGTTGGTGCTTCAAAGGAGTTAGGAATGGAGGTTGAGGCAAGGGAAGGTAGATATGGCTCTGAAGGGTTCATCAACTAATCTCTGTAGTGCTGGTATATTCTGTATTGTCTCTATAATTGTGGTTTCACGAATCTACACATGTGTTAGCATTATATAGAGCTATACCCAGAGACAATTGAGTGCTGTGAAACTTGTGAATTCAATGAATCCTACGGGTTATATCAATATCAGTTTCTGGTTCTGACATTTCACTATAGTTATCTAAATTGTTAACATTGGGGAAGATTTGATGAAGTGTACATGAGACCTCTCTGTAGAATTTTTGCAACTTTCTGTGAATCTATTCTTATTATAAAATAGAAGGCTTATGAATGAAAATTGGGTAAGAAAGTAGGAATTTTTTTCAATGTTTTTCAAATTGTCAAGTTCATTTTCAAAAGATAATACCAATCTAAATTGTTACCCAAATTAAAAAGTATACCATCATTACATTCTCATCAGTATTGCCTTTATTTTTATTTAATTATTTACTTTATTAATTTCCAGTACTGTCATTAAGTATTAATATATTGTCATTATTTTTATTTACTTTTATTAATGCAGAAAAAATTAAAACCAGTATACATGTTCATCTTACCAGCTCTATTTATAGTAGCCAAATACTGGACATAGTCCCAATATTTTTCAATGGATGAACAGTTAAATTTTAGCACTCCTTAGTTCAGATGCTCCTCCTACCTCAGCCTCCCAGGTAGTTGGGACTGTGGGCATGTGCCATTCTGCCTGGCTGTGTGTGTTTTTGATATGATGAAATACCTGAGAAAAACTACTTAAAGGAGAAAAGATGTGTTTTGGCTCATGGTTTTAGATGTTTCAGTCCATATTGGCCCCATTGCTGTTCTCATGGTGAGCACAACTGCTCAACTCATGGCAGTTAGGAAGCAGAGAAAGAGAAAAGTGTCATAGGCCCCAGTAGTACAGCCCAAGGACCTGCTTTTTTCAACTAGGTTCTGGCTCATGTTTCCATCGTCTCCCAGTAGTCCATTCAGCTACAAATCCATCAATGGATTCATAGATGAATCATCCAATCACTTCAAAGCCCTACCTCTGAACATTGCTGCACTGAGGATCAAGCCCCCGACACGTGAGCCTTTGAGAGACAAACATAACAATGATTCAAGCCATAACAGTGACCTCACAGTGAGTACTGGTTATATATTTTGTAAATGTCTCTTAACTAGGGCTTTTCAGGAGGAAGAATATGGAGTGAGGTACCATTCTTATCATAACATATAGGGTATATATTATCAACGTGACATCCTACTGGTGTTGACCTTGATCACCTGGATGAGGGCAGTGTTTCCTCAGTATTTTGTCTGTGAAATTTGCCATTATTCTGATTAACTTTTTTTAATCTGTTTTTACTTGAAACAATGTTTCCTGTATTAAGCTAGACAAAATATTGATAAATGGTTTAGATGCCATGATTTGTTTCACATATACATAAATAAAACTTTATTTATAATTATGTAACTAGGGACAATTTTTTCTTTCCAGTCTTATGCTTTCTCCCATTGTGTAGAAATACTTTGACAGAGTTAAATTAAGTTTAATGGCACTTTTATGGGTTTTTTTGTAGTTGCCCTTTTTCAGATTGAGGCAGTTTCCTTTTCTACCTAGTTTGCTCAGTTTTTAACATGGGTAGATGCTGAATTTTGTTAAATACTTTTGCACTATCTGTGTGAATGATGATAGGCTTTTCTCTCATTTATTTATTTACTCATTTATTTTTTGTGGTATTGGGGATTGAACCCAGGGGTACTCTACCACTAAGTTACATACTCAACCCTTTTAATTTTTATTTTGATATGAGGTCTCGCTAAGTTACCTAGGCTGGCATTCAACTCGTGATCTTCCTGCCTCAGCTTTCTGTAGAGCTGGAGGTGTGCACCACCATACTTGGCTTAACCAGGGGTCAGCAAACTCTGTAAAGGCCCAGGTAGTAAATATTTTCAACTTAAACCATCCTTGTATTCCTGAGATAAACCGTGTATCATCAATTTTATATGTTGTTGAAGTCAATTTGTTACTATATAGTACAACAAATTTTTGCTTCTGTATTCATGTGGAATATTGATCTTGCTGAAGGATAAAATTACAATCAATTTAGTTTAAAGATCTTGAGCCAGGTGCTGTGTATATGCCTGTGGCTTAGGAGGCTGAGGCAGGAGGATTGCAAGTTTAAAGCCAGACTCAACCACTTAGACAGGCCCTCAGCAACTTAGTGAGACCCTGTCTTAAAATTAAAAAAAAAAAAAAAAAAATCAAAAGGGCTGGAGATGTAGTTTAGTGATAAAGCACCCTGGGTTTAATCCCTAATATCAAAAGACAAACAAACAACAACAATAACAACAACAAAAAAAAAACAAGATCTTAATTGACTATAGTTGTGACTTTAGAATCAGGTAACACTTTATTCCATAAAATAGAAGAAGCGTTCAAATGAGGCAAGCAGAGGAAGGTTTTATAGACAAATAAGGGTTAAAGAAAGCAGAAAAAAAAGATTAGTCATTTCAAATTACTTTCCTTATAAGGCAGATATAGGGAAAACAGAACAATAGAAAAATAACTGGTTAACATCAGTTTACTGATGTTATTTTATATGAATTTTTTAAAAGTTCATTCATGCCTATTAAAACTGACTTGTTTAGAAAACTTGGCTGTTATCTTTTGTTCTTCTGATTTCTCTAAGGTTAGATAAGAACTTCAGTTTTGATTTGGTTATAAAGAACTTTAATATTAGTGATTCCATTTTTATTTTGGTCTATTGGGACCTAATATAGTTCAGTTCAAAACTCCTATAATATTTAATCTGTAATTTTATTTTCTTATCATGGTTGGCAAGTTTTCACATTAGTTTTATGCTGGTTTCATAAAACAAGTTGGGAAGTATTCCTTTCTCCTTTGCTTTCTGGAAAAGTTTCCATAAAATTACCATCATTTCTCTTTAAATATTTGATAAAGTTCACCAGTGAGTCTTCTCAGAGTGGAATTTTCTATTTGGAGAGATCTTTTATTATAACAAAATTACTATCTTTGATAAATAGAAGGTTATATGCATCCTTAAGCAATATTGTTTAGTTTTACTCATTTTTGAAATTTACATTAATCATATTTTGTGTGTTTTTTATTTTGTTCCACCCTCTCCAAGAAAGGAAACTGCTTAATCATAGAGGGTTTGTTTGTATTTTTAGATTAACTTGTACTGCTAGATGCTTATTAGCCATCTTTTACATGGTAGGTCTTTGATGAAGAAAGAAAGAACTAACAAGCTCTTTGTATAACTGTGGTCTACTTTATTCTTTGACTATATAGCCCTTGCTGTCCTGCCACTGAGACTTATTTTTTAAAGAGACATGTTTCTTTCTCTTCCTCTCTCCCTGCTCCTCCCTAATTTATCCCCCTCCCTAATCTCAAGGAAAGCAGAATTACCTTTATTCCCCATTCTAGGCAGGGTTATCTGTCCTTGAGCACACACACACAGGAACAAGTAATTCAGACTTTGGGAATGGCACCAGATCTCCAGAAATGACAGTCTCCCGAATTAACAAATGAATTACAACTCCAGACAGAACACATGGAATATAGCCTTTGAATCACCTCTTTAAAAGCCCCCTGCTCCCCTTGAGGCCAGACTTATACCTCTGGGACCCAAGTCTCCTATGCTTCTCCTTTGCAATAAAACTTCTTTTTCCCTTTTCTCAAAACTGTATCCTCATTATTGGATTGGCATTGGGGACAAGGACAGAGCTTTGGGTAACATCTGTACTTAATGAAAACATGCTGTGTTGTCAGTATTGGTAGATAAAAGGTTTTGGTTGTTTTAAGGATCTTATGTGGAATAGCTAGTTCTTTGATTTTGATTAGGGGGAAAAAAGCAACATCTAGTAGACATTTCTCACCTTGAATAACTGCTCAGCATCTTTTGAACACTTCTCCTAAATCTGGGAATTTCTCAATTCTGAGTCCTCCTTTCCTAGCTCCCTTGCAGTCCAGACCTAGGCACTTGCCCTGGACTCTGTCAATCAGACGTGCACACAGGCCTTTCAGTGGGAAGAGATCTGCTGTAGAAGCCCTTTGCTGATTTTCAACATATCACTTACTGTGAAGCTTAGACATAATATTTTAAAAAGTAAATTGGATGTTATCTTTTGCTCTTAGATAACTTGGTTTAGAAATGTGTTTGATTCCTGTGTTAGTAAGGAATGTGACTCCACTCAGAGAGAGGTCTGGCCTTTGTCTTGGGTCATGGGTAGCAACCTCTAAACACTTGGAATACCTTTGTTATTCAGGGTAGGACCCTGAGCTCAACCTTGAGGGAAGTAAATTTGGAGACTGACTTCAGCTAGGTGGGCAATCATTTCATAAATCATGCCTATACATTAGAGCAAATTATGCTACGTGAAGCTAGCCAATCCCTAAAAAACAAATGCCAAATGTCTTCTTTGATATAAGGAGAGCAACTAAGAACAGAGCAGGGAGGAAGAGCATGAGGAAAAGATTAACATTAAACAGAGACGAGTGGTGGGGGGGAAAGGGAGAGAGAAGGGAAATTGCATGGAAATGGAAGGAGACCCTCAGGGTTATACAAAAGTACATACAAGAGGAAGTGAGGGGAAAAGGGAAAAAAAATCAAGGGAGAGAAATGAATTACAGTAGATGGGGTAGAGAGAGAAGATGGAAGGGGAGGGGAGGGGGATAGTAGAGGATAGGAAAGATAGCAGAATACAACAGTCAGTAGTATGGCAATATGTAAAAATGTGGATGTGTAACCGATGTGATTCTGCAACTTGTATTTGGGGTAAAAATGTGAGTTCATAACCCACTTGAATCAAATGTATGAAAGATGATATGTCATGAGCTTTGTAATGTTTTGAACAACCAATAAAAAAATAAAAAAAATCATGCCTATAATAAAATCTCAATAAAAACTGAACATTGAAGTTTAGTTGAGCTTCCTGGGTTGGCAGTTTTCCATGCATATTCTCACACTTCAGTGCCAGGAAGTTGATGGGAAACCCTTGAAATTGCAGTTTTTGTCAGGAGGCTCAACAGACTTGGCCAGCGCCTTAATCTCAGTTTGGCTGATTCTGGATAGTACCCCAACAAGTCATTGTACTTGGCTGTTATTTTCTACAAAAAAACACTTTCTTCCCCCCCCCACTTTCTAATTGGTGCATTATACTTATACATAATGGTGGGATTTATTGTTAAGTATTTGTACATGCACACAGTCTAACAATATAATATCATTCCCCAGTATTTCCCCTTTCCCTTTCCTCCTCCCTCCCCCTGATCCTTTTCCTCTATTCTACTGATTTCCTTTTGATTTTCATGAGATCCCCCCATCTTTCTTTTCCTTTCTAGGTTCTACATATGAAAGAAAGCATATAATCTTGACCTTTTAAGTTTGGTTTATTTTGCTTAACGTAATGTTATCAAGTTCCATCCATTTTCCTGCAAATGACTAATTTATTTTGCTTTAGGACTGAATAAAACTCCATCATGGGGGCTGGGGATGTGGTTCAAGCGGTAGCGCGCTCACCTGGCATGCGCGGGGCGCTGGGTTCGATCCTCAGCACCATATAAAAATAAAATAAAGATGTTGTGTCCATCGAAAATTAAAAAATAAATATTAAAAAATTCTCTCTCTCTCTCTTAAAAAAAACCAAAAAACTCCATCATGTATATATACTACATCTTCTTTATCCATTTGTCTGTTGATGGACACCTAGACTGGTTCCATAGTTTGGCCATTGTGAATTGTGCTTCTATAAACATGAATATGCATGTATCATTGTAGTATAATGACTTTAATTCTTCAGGATAAATACCAAGGAGTGGTACATGTTGAGAGCTACATTGTTTGGTGGTTCCATGCCTAGTGTTCTGAGGAACCTCAGTGATTCCTGTAGAAAAACATCTTGGGCTGAGGTCATAGCTCGGAGGTAGAGCGCTTAGCTGGCATGTGTGAAGCATAGGATTTGATTCTCAGCACCACATATAAATAAATAAAGATCGATTGACAACTAAAAAAATATTAAAAAAAGAAAACACCTTCTTTTAATCCCTCTATTTTACTGTTTTTCTTCCCTTTCTCTTTATCATCCCTTTTAATTTTCATCAATTTCTGTATCTCTCCTCTTGAATTGATCCTTCATATCTACCAATGACACACCCTTAAGCTTTAGCTCATCCAAATAGTGGTATTTGAGCATGAAAAGATCTCTGATTTAGATTATGGGTTGTGATATGTCTGCTTGTGGCCTTTGGGGTACCAGAAGGAAGCAAAATCTCTTTATATATTTGTAATAGACATTTTTCTTCTGCAAAGTATCATACAAAATGTGAAAATGGGGGCTGGGGTTGTAGCTCAATGGTAGAGCACTTGCCTCACATATGTGAGACACTGGGTTCCATCCTCAGCATCACATAAACATAAATTTTAAAAAATAAAGGACCATGTCCATCTACAACTAAAAAATATTTTTTAAAAATGTGAAAATGTCTTATGATTTGGGTATGAGGAATCCCCCAAAGAGCTCTTGTGTTAGGCAATGCAGAAATATTCATAAGTGAAATTATTAGATTATGAGAGCTATAATCGCTTCAGTGTATAATCCGTTCAATGGATTATAATTCAAATAGACTACTGGTCATAACTGTAGGCAGGTGGACATGGCTAGAGGAAGTAGGTCCCTAGAGGCATGTCCTTGGGGTTAATTTTGTCTCTCTTCTCTCTCTTCTGTCTCCTCTCTCTCTTCTCTCTTACACCTCTCTCTCTCTCTACCCGCCCCCCCCCCCCCGCCTTCTTGGCTGCCATGAGCTGAGCAGCTTTCTTTTGCCATGTTCTTCTGCCATGTCATTCTGCCTTACCTCTGGCCCAAAACCGTGGGACTGGCTGACTCTGGACCAAGCCCATGAGCCCAGAATAAACTTTTCCTCTTCTAAGTTGTTCTTGTTAGGTATTTTGGTCACAGCAAATGAAAAGCTGACTAACACAATGTCCTTTATAAAAACTGAACACATTTCTAGGAAAATCCTATGTTTGTTGAACAATAATTCAGAAGAAGTCCGGACTTTGATTCCAGAAGTTTTAAATGTATGTGCTTTCTCCATAAAACTCACTTCAGTTTAGATCCTTGCTATAAGTGAAATATGAACTTTAAAACTTTTTATTTGATGGAAAGGGTAAACAAAATCAGCATAATACATTTACTCCTTGACCTGCAGGTCTTAGACAGTTGGTGAAATGACTGACTCAGAAGACGATGATACCCCCCAGCTTTCCTCCCATACCTTAGCAGCGCTCCAGGAATTTTATGCTGAGCAGAAGCAACACGCGGACCCAGGTGGGGATGACAAATACAACATTGGAATAATAGAAGAAAATTGGGTAAGTAAATACATTCCACATCCACCAGGAATTAGTGTTGTAGAACCTATTCTGTTCCAAGTCCAGTGTTTGATTCTTCCCTTGATACCAGAGTCTTATCACCTGTCGTTCAGGAGCTGATAACCATGGGGAACAAGGACAGAAAGCAGTCCATGGACATTTTTGGATGGTGTAAATGCATATTCTCCTGGTTCTGACTATCAGGCTGGTTGGTGAGGGGGCTTTTAAAATTGGGGATAATGTGTCATTGTGTCTAACACAACCTGTACTTTGTTCTCGGATAGAGATTCACATCATTGATTTTCCTGGAGCCCAATATTCCTGGTAGGAAGAGATAAATATATCATTGCAATAAGTAGGGTAACTGAACTTAAACATATAGTGAAAAAATTGATGAAAAGGAGTTTTTAAGATGTTAATATTCCTATATATAATAACTTATATGTATATGTGTGTATACATATGTGTTATGGTTTAAATGTGGTGTCTCCCAAAAGCTTATATGTGAGACAATGCAAGAAGGTTTGGAGGAGAAATGATTGTGCTATAGCCTTAACGTAATCAGTGAATTAATCCCTAATGGGATTAATTGAGTGGTTACTGGAGGCAGGTGAGGTGTGGCTAGAGGAAGTGGTTCACTGAGAGCATGGCTATGAGGTATATAATTTATATCTGGAGAGTGGAATCTCTCTCTCTCTCTCTCTCTCTCTCTCCCTCCCTCCCTCCCTCCCTCCCTCCCTCCCTCTCCTTTCTGATCATCATGTGAGTCGCTTCCCTCTACTACACTCTTCTTCCTCACCTTGAGCCCTGAGGAATCTGTGGATTGAGACCTCTGAAACCATGAGCCCCCAAATAAACTTTTCCTCCTAAAATTGTTCTGGTCAGGTCTTTTAGTCAGAGCAGCAAAAACAGCTGACTAAAACAATATGTGTGTGTATTACACTCATATATATATACACACACACACACACACACACACACACTAAAAGGGGAATTTTAAAAATGAGTTGAGGGAAACCCTAATACAGGAAATTTTTGAAGGAGACAGTTGAGAAACAGATGAGACCTGAAGTTTTTTTTTGCAACTGGAAAGAAACTAACATTTTTATTTTATTTATGTACTTATTTTTCAGACTTTTACATTTTGTGTCTAGTTAGGATCTCTGAGATATGTAAATTTTTATTTACCATCTGTTTGAAATCAAGTGTGATGAAATGTTTCTTTCCACTTATTCCTTGTGTTATACCTATTCCAAATCCCCTTTCTCAGGATTTCCCTTCTTTACGTATTTTCACCTTCTAGCTGGATGTTTCTGTAGATAATAAATTTATCAGAATCTTGAAGTATTGCATTATTCTTGAGGTCGTCTTTTTCCCTTCTGCTTCATTTTTAAAATACTGTCCACTCTTTTCTTGAGTGCACTAACTGGTTGTTGTAGAACATATATAAAAGCATATATAAAAGCATGAACAAGAAAATAATAATTAGTCCTAATGGAGGAAGTCTCCCAGGAAATAGAAAAAAATAGTAATGATATGAAATATAGGAAAGAAAACATTAGAAAAACTAGAAAATAAATCCAGGATACTCATTCAACTAGTAGGGAGTTCCAGAAAGAATAGAACAAAAACAAAGAGGAAAGGACATCTTCAAAGAATAACATTAGAAATTTCCTAGGACCAAAAATCTTACTAAGGCACATGATTATGATGATTGTGAAAATTATAGATTTGGGTGTTAAAGAAGATCTCAGAACCTTCCAGAGTAAAAGCAGGTCAGATACAAAGCTCAGAACTTTGTTAAGTCTTCCAGATAGCTAGCTGTATTAGAAACTAAGACACTGAAATGCCTTCAACCTTTGAGTGAGAATTTTGTTCAGCTTGGAGTATAGACTCAGCTAAAGTAATAGTCAAGCATGAGAATAATAAAAACATTTTGGATATAGCAAATTTTACAACATTTACCTCCTGTGCTCTTCTCTGGAGCTACAGGAGGATTTGTTCCAGCAAGTTAAGATGTACCCTTCAAAGAAAGAGGAAGCTTCAGGGAAAAGGAGGTCTGACACTTAAAGCACGAGAGGGAATACATGATAGTGATTCACAAAGTCCCAGTGTAATATCTATGTTGTAGGCCTGGGGAACAATTGGTCCAGATTACCTTAGGAAGATGGCATCATTCAGGATAGAGATCTTTAAAGGAAAAAGTAAAAATTATAGGAAGAAAATTGTATTGAAAGGCCAATGGAGGATGTTGGAGAAATTTGGCATAAGTACAAAGAAACCAAGCAAAAGAAATGAAATAATCATGCATTTATTTTTTATTTTATTTTTTTTTAGAGATAGAGAGAGAGAGAGAGAACTTTTTAATATTTATTTTTTAGTTTTCGGTGGACACAACATCTTTATTCTATTTGTATGTGGTGGCATGCTAGGTGAGCGTGCCACCGCTTGAGCCACATCCCCAGCCCCATAATCATGCATTTATTAACTGAAGGGAAAAAAAAGTATGCTGGAAGGGAATACAATCATAATTTGGCTCATCAACGGACACTTATTATTAATTCTAACTAAACACAACTGGGGTTACAACTATATTGAGAGGGTGAAGGAAAGAGGAAGGGTATGTATGAGAGCGCAAAATCCTCATCTTCATAATAAGTAATACATAGATTTGATTAACCAAGAGAGAGCATTTAAACATAATATTTAGAGATATGGGGTAAACAATTGAAGGAAGGATCAAGGGTTGAAAATGGTGGCATCTGAGAAGTAGGTCCAAAGGTGGGGAGATATGGGATAGGAGGCCTGTTTTTCTTTAGAAGCATAGTAGTCCTTTTGACTTTTAAAGTCATGTTCATGTAACACATTGATGAAGAGTAGGATTTTTAATTTAATTGAGTGACATAAAGAGGGAACCAAAACACATCATTGTCTCCTAACAGTGTTATGTGAGGGAGAAAGACAACTCAATGCCAACCAGCAGGTAGCTCCTACCACTTATGATACTTGAGAGCAGATATCATCTGCCATCTCCCAAATCCATGCTAAATGCACTTTTATAGGGGCTTTCCTCCAGCTGTCCTAGCAAAGAGGGCAAGGTCAGAGCTGGGCAGTTCTTCTGTAGCTAAGAATGGATAGATATAGAGGTACACATTAAATCATACATATATACAAATGTATGTGAATGTTCTCCTCTTTGGAAACATTTTAAAATATGTAAGTATATATTCAGTAAATACTGTGCAGACATCTAGATGGAAATAAGTGAACCAATCTTACTTCTAATTATAGTCAGTTAATATTATTAAAGATTTGTTTACATGTTCATACCATTTGCCATTTAGAATAACACCTTATTCTAATTGTTGTAATCATTTTGAATGCTATATTGTTCTGAATAACATAGAACTGTTAAATCTTAATAAGACCTTCCAGATAAACCTTTTAAAAGGTCAAAGAGAGTGCAACAATAAATAAAGCAAACTATTCTAAGACTGAAGCAATGACTGTTTTTGATGTGTGCTATGGGAACAACATGTGAGGATAACAATGTAGGCTATTCAGATAGTGGGAAGTCAAGGAAAGCTACCCAGAGTGAAAGGTGGGAATTAAGTGCCATAGTGTTCTATATTTAAAAAAACAAAGCACTTCAACCCTCATTAAATTAAAATGAAACATAAAGTAATGATGTATTAAAAGAAAATACGATATTTTCATGATCTAAAGTAGAGAAATAAGAAGATTGATTTAATATATAATTAGAAACTTACCACCATGTGCAGTGGTATATGCCTGTAATATCAGCTACTTGAGAGCCTGAAACAGGAGAATTTTAAGTTAAGGCCAGCCTGAACAGTTTGGAAAGATCCTATTTCAAGACTTTTTTAAAAATATATATTTTTAAAGGGCTGGGTTTAGTGGTAGAGTGCTCTTCTGTGGGACCGCAGGTTCATAAACAAGGTTAAAAGACAAGGAAAAAATATCTGTATCTGTGAGAGCTAAAGGATCAACATGCAGATGTTTGTGTACACCAAAGATACCAAAAAACATTCCTATTAGCACTCAGAACTGGTTCTATTACTTCTTATAACAAGAGACTGTACACCATGGGGAAACTGTGAATCATCTTAGTAAGAGGGAGTTCAGAGATTGTTTTGTGATATGGGCTTACATTAGGTGTTGGGGAGAGTCTGTCAGAAAGCAGGCAATTCTATAATTTGAATATCTTAATTACTGTCTTGGAGGTGGGAGGAATCAAGTGGGCTAAAGCTATAATTTGTAAAGCATCAACAAGCCCTCATGTTATCTGGGAAAAAGGTCATTTTTGTGACTTGCAGTGTTCTTGTTTTATCTGTACTAAGACATGATTACAGAGTGGTCATTTTTGTCTTGCTCCATCACAGTCAAGAATAACTCTGATGCATTTTCTAAAATAGTTTCTGTTAAGAAGAGAGCAACTGGGCCTAGGCACTAGTTGCAGGCTGGCTCTGACACCTGTCATTTTTCTTTTCTCATAATATATATAAAGAGCTTCTACAAATAAATAAAAAATAATAAAACAGTAAGCAACCCAATGAAAAAGTAGGGAAGAATAGGAACAGTTTGGGCTGGGGTGGTGGCTCAGCAGTAGAGCATTTGCCTAGCACATGTGAGGCCCTGGGTTTGATCCTCAGCACCAAATAAAAATAAATAAAATAAAGGTATGGCATCCAACTACAACCAAAAAATAAATATTTAAAAAAACAGGAACAGTTTATAAAAGAAAACATAAAACTGAATAATTAAACACATGAAAAAATGTTCAGCTGTACCAGTAGGGTAATGCAAATTAAAACAGTTAAACATGGTTGATAGTAATTTAAATTGGTTCAACCACTTTTGGAGGGCAATTTGGCAGTAGCTACCAAAATATTAAATGCATATACCCTTCAATCCAGAATTTCATTTCTAGAAATTTCTCCCAGAAAATTATATGCACAGGAATACAAAGGGGGAAACTA